AAGAGGCTTCAAAACCCATGTCCAGCTAGCTTTCTTTCTAATGGATCAGTAAGTAACACGGCTAAATGTTAGCTAGACCAGAGAGGACTGTACTGTACTGGCTGCTAGTTCATTCCTAGCTGGCCAGCATCGCAAATCGCCGCAACCAGGGAGCGGGTAGCGAGTGTTGGTCGGCTGACATCCTGGTTGCCATTCTACGGCAGCCCTCGGACAGTGATACCCCCCTCCCTTCCTTCTGTTCTCTTCTCAGGGAGGCAGCTATCCACGGACATCGCCCAGCTAAGTTACGCCCAGCTAAGTGAACACTGGACTTTGTTTCCCATTCAATTTGAGCTCCAACCGGCCGCATGGTTTCCATACGGTAGCGTTTATTCTAGAATGGGGACTGTTTACATGTGCATATTGGTATAATTCCACTGTGTCTACTGTTGTTTGTACTGATACTGTACATATTGGTATCATTTACTGTGAGCTGTTTGTACTGGTACTGTGCATTCTGCTATAATTATTTGCATTACTATTTGTTTTTTCTTCAGATAAATCTGATAATTGTTGCTCGGTCTCTTTACTCATTTATTTAGTAGAGTGTCCACACACCTTCTCATTCTACATATACATAGAAGTATACTGGTGGCTTTACAGCCTGCATTTTATTGATTATCTCTGATCCCCACGCTCAATTTGGTCGTTGCGACAGTGTGAACAACACTGCTGACGCTAGGTGGCGCCAAGCTAAAAATAAAATGAATCCTATCTGTTGCCTCTTTAAAATAAATCCCCAAAATGGCCTCTTAAAAGCAAAGCAATACTTTTTTATTTAATAAAAAAAACTGTATGAAAAGAAAAATATTTAAACATGTGTCATCCAGGATCACGGATGACATCATGAAGTAACAGACTAAATTCATGTCTAAAAAACTATGACATAACTCAATCAGGCAGTTGTTTTGATGACCTAAAGAAATCTGCAACCCTGAACTTCAACTTTCAAGTATGTCGATTCATATTAAATAAATCTGAATAAAATCAACATTACATGACACAGGATTTTATCCCCCAGTGTACCAGTGAGCGAAAGGGTTAAATAAACACACTTTGACTTTTCACCATTGTTTGGGGGTCTTTCAGGGTCTGACTGTGTAACTTCCTGTCTGACAACATACATGAAAAAAAAAAAGCCTCCAGATTGATTGTTGTCCCAGGTGGCGTTGGCCAAGTCCAAGTTTAAGGACAAAATGCTCTGATTCACAGCAATTAACTGGATGTCATAGTTGTTATTTTTTAATATTTTGCTGGCAACACTTTTTTTTTTTTTTAATTTAAAAACTTTTTTGTGGCTTTTTTGCATTTCAGCATTAAGTGCGGACAGTTATCTGCTACGACATTTTGTGTCTATAATGTCTAATAATTTTTAAACGTCTTCATACCCTCAATACATTTTCATATTACTTGATAAAAAGAGATTAATAAATTCAATAAACGTTTTTTTTACGATCACTTTCCTTACCTATACTTCATAAAGGGTTTTAAATATCAACACTGCATGTCAAGTCACTGGCCCTCAATTAGCTGCAAGTAACACTGGATCTTAAAATATCAAAGTAAATTAAGAGAAAACTGCTTGAAGTTTAACTCTCAGTGCAGACATAGCTGTTTAAAAAATATGTTGTTTCATTACTAATTTTCCACAGTATCGATAAATCGGTACCAGCTGTGTTTTCAAGCTCTCTCGTCTTATTAAAGTTTACTTCAGCCCTTCTTCTGTTATCTGCTACTAACCAATAAAAGAAAAGTCATCCTTGTCACGTTATAGTCTTGTTATTCTTATCTTTTCATAAATTCCAGTATGGTGACAACACCAGTACAAAGGCTAAATATACGAAATATTCAGATTCTGATTATTTAAAATATACAACATGTTAGATCAGAATGTAATCTTTGAGCTACTTTAAATCTTAAAATAAAAATATTCGCTACGGAGCCTTTTGTGGGGAAAAAACATGTCATGATAATTAAATGAATTTCAAAACACAGACCCCACTTTGAGAATCACCCCAACAGAGGACAGATCCTCTTTAAGTCTGTCTTTTATGGACCTTTTTAACAGCATTGACAGCAATGACATTTGTGATGGCTCTCTTCTATTAATTGTCACTGAATACACCTGTGCTTTTCCTACAACATGTCTGCAGTGATACAGGTCTGATGAGGTGAGACACTGAGCAGCTGCTGGACTTGTCCCATGGAGATGTTATTATGTTTTCTGAGTTTATAAAATCCTCTCATTTCAGAGCCAGTCAGGTGTGAAGGAATAACGAAATGGACCTGATGTTGTTGTATTAATAAAACATCTAAAATATAAAACACATTTGTACTGTTTAAAGCCACAGCAGCACTTCACAGCCAGATACATCCAGGAACTCAGTGTGCTCAGACTCAGCAGTTAGCTTCACTGCTAACATGCTACTGCCCCCGTGTGCTGACTTAACGTCAGTACAGGTGACTGGTGACACACACACACACACACACACACAACTCTCTGACACCATCTAGTGTCTACAGTCCATTCACTATCTTTGTCCAGGGTTTATTAAAAACATGAGGTCAGCTATTTTGACCACTCTGTGAGGTTAGCTAGCTTAGCTTAACGTTCGTTAGCAGCCGTTAGCATGTTGTCTTACCTTTGGACAGCGGTCTGTGTCTCCTTGTGTGACTGGAGGACATCTTCAGGTCTTCACTGGAGAGGACAACATGTTGGAGAAACTTTTTTTATGTCATAAAACTTATTTTAGTTAAATATTGACGCTGCTTTTATGTGTTTAAAACCGTCAAAAAAAGAAAAGAAAAAAGCAGGACACTGTGATGTAGCACGCGCGAGAGACTGTAGGGGTCAGTGACGTCATGCGAAACAGGAAGACAAACCCGGAAAATAAAACTTTTAAATAACTACATAAATAATTAAATAAAATAAAACAAAAGCAAAATAATAGTTATAATAGAGCATTATAATTTTAAATCTATTATATTTTAATTATAAATTAATTTATTTCCTTTCTTTGGTTACTGACTGTCAGAAAATTTTCGTTAAATAATCTTTGTTTCTCCAAACGTATGTAACTGAAATAAGAATTCCATTAAGAGACAATAACGTAACTTTCATATGTACAAAAATACATTTTCCAAGTTATCCCCCTGTTCAATAGTTTATTTTTTAAATATATTTATAATTTTAATTCAGTCTCTGAAATATATGGCTTAGATAATAAGAAAGTCTACCTTAAATCATAACCTTTTCTCTTTTTTTTTTTTTGTTATATCGACTACATATTTTTAAAATGCTGTTTTTTTTTCTTAATTTCCTTCATGTTTTTTTTTAGTCTGACAATTGTTGTTTTTGATAATATGTGAAGTCTAACCCCTGACCTAACCCTAAGATGTCTGACTTTGTGCCATTTATTTTCTCACTTAAAAGGAAGGATAATAAAACTAATTCAAAAGTACATGTCCCGTGCACAGCACTGAGTCCTTTTCATTTGGTGCAGGTGATGGCGGGAAACACCCGTGCATTGTGCAAACCTGTGTGAATTTAATGAAGCCCTGGCCAGTGTTGTAATGTTTAAAATGAAAATTAAATGAAAAAAAAAAAGCAATTCAGACTTCTTGTGTACGTTGCTTCTACTTATTTACTATCAAGGATAATAAAAGGTAAAACATACCATAACATAAAAATAGCCCTAATCTTAATATAGAAGACAGTGCTGTTTCTGTAATTTTGTGGTGGAAATGCTTGAACAGTTGTTTGTTCAAACATTTGACCATGTTTTGGGCTGATTTTCAATTGGATCTTAAAACATAATTTGATCATAATATTTTACTTTAACAACGTTATTTGTTATTAATATTCAGAAATCCTAATTTCTCCAGCAGTGAACAATATGTCATTAATTTGCTAATTATTGTAGCCAAATTTGACCTGTACCTTCCTTTCATATACATTTCAATTAAAAGATATACACATATATCTTCAAACACTATCACATTTGAAAGCCTTTAAAAAGATAAACCAAAACTATTTATGTATGCAAGCTCTTTAATATTATACCCAATAAAGAAATCTTCTTGTGTGGATTCAAATGTATGTTTTTTTCTGTCATGAAATTATCTAAGCTTTTTTTCCCCTTTAGTTTCTAACTCTTGTCCATATCCTATGGCATGCCCTGAAGAATTTTGTAATAATTACAACATGTGCTGGTTAAACAATGTTTATTAATAAAAGGGTGTTTGTTGTTTTAAGAGTGTTATTGAAACATGCCCTGTGGGAGATGTTCCTCTCTGTTTTTAAGTAACAAAAAAGAGAGAGAGAGAGAGAGAGAGAGAGAGAGAGAGAGACATAAAAGTTATTGAAAAGTAAAAGTAATTCCTTGGAATTACCCTGAGGAAATTTAGTCATTCATTTTTTTCATTCATTCTCTGTAACTGTTTATCCTGTTGAGGGTCGCGGGGGCTGGAGCCTATCCCAGCTGCACCAGGTGAGAGGCAGGGTTCACCCTGGACAGGTCACCAGACTATCACAGGGCTGACACATAGAGACAGACAACCATTCACACTCACATTCACACCTACGGACAATTTAGAGTCACCAATTAACCTGCATGTCTTTGGACTGTGGGAGGAAGCTGGAGCACCTGGAGGAAACCCACGCTGACACAGGGAGAACATGCAGACTCTGCACCCCCTGGGTTCAGACCAGGAACCTTAGTGCTTTGAGGTGACAATGCTAACCACTGCACCACAGTGCCACCTGTGGAAAATAAATCTACTTTATCATTGAATATTCATTATTTTTTGAAAGGGTATTTACAGAGTTGTTTATATTCATGTTGTCTGGAGCTCTTTTATGAAACACACATTATCATATGTGTCAACATTCAAAGGTGATAATAATTCATAGAGAAACCACTCAACCTGCTACATCAGACTACACAGCAGAAATCAGTCAGATAAACAGGACTGAAAAGTGTTTATTAGGAAGTTGTCAATACAGTGTAGAAACAGTTTTTTTTAAACCTGTTTATTTCTTTGTTTTACAGCTGTGGTGTTCTCTTCATTATCACAAATGTGAACAAAAAGCAGTTTTGGTAGGACAAAGGTGTTTATTACAAAGATGTGTGCAGACAGAATAGGTCACCGAGTTCTGCGTTTCTTACCTCCACAGCCCCTGAGCTCATACACGGGGCCTGCAGAGTGATTAAACATGTGATTTTAGTGTGTCTGTTGAGAATGTAATTCCTCCTTGAAGCGTTAACTGTTAGAAAAATGATGATTATCAGCTACCCCAGGAGAGTCTGTGCGTCATCTGACGTCACTGAAATGATTACATCTAATGTCCTCGTAAGGCTTTAAATCAAGCCATTAAAGCACCAGTAACATCCAAGCTTCACTCGTCTGAACCACATTTGTTACAATTTAAGTAAAAAATAAAACACTTTTATTCTTAAAAATTAAAATATTCTCATTAAAATTTTAAATATTCTCAATATTCATCAGAAAATACGACATCTTTAAACTTTTAATGTCACTAATCGGAGATGTTTTAAAGTAAAGGTTGTGTTGATTTTTTTTTTTTAACTTGAAGCCACCAATGTGTCATCAATCAAATGAAGGTGCGATTAAAGTGAACCACAAAGTGAACCACAGTGAAAATAAATACAAAACATTAGAAAAAAAAATCTAAACTCTAAAAGTCAAACTTGCTTCGTCATTGCACTGAAACACTGAAAGCACACACACAACAGATCACCCCTATTGTTGTCTCATCTAGATACAGCAGACACTTGCATGTGTGCGTCCCAGTCCCGTCCATCAAAGTCTCTGCTGCTGCTGCCATGGTAACCACGGCTCAGGAATGCCATCCTTCCAGTCAGGGCTGCTCGCCTCACACGATGAGTATCACAGCAACGCAGCAGGAGCCGGGCTGAAACTCCCCCGGGTACACAGTGATCCCTGCTGAGAACGTCCCCTCCCTCTCCTCAGATGGCATCGGCACGCCACACCGGTGATTTCATCTCAAGTGGCTGACAACCTGCTGAGGAGCCCCGGGAGTTCATTATCAACTGTGCGACCTTCACACAGCATCTGACCCCCATTCCCTTTTAACAGACGGGTTATTAATGGCGCCCAGCTGTGCAGGGAGATGGTCGGGCTTTTCTAAATGTTCATGTATAAATAGTTCACTGATGTGGCGTGTTGACATCGAACAGCTCAGAGTGAAAATCAACCAGTATTTGCATCCATGAACTTATTCAACCCAGTCGCCCAGAAGAAATGTTGCCATTGTACTTTTCTGCAAACCACGGATACGTCAGGAACTTTACTGAACATATCTTAAAACTTTACGTTTCACAACATGGTTAGGTTTAGGCAGTAAAACCACTTGGTTATGGTTTGGAAAAAACATGTTATGGCTTAAAATTTCTAGCAGGGAAAGATGGCTGTATCCTGGCTGGAAACACAGCGATGTCTCAGGTGTAAAACATGCTTTTCAGGCCACTATGACTGAAGAAAAAGCAGTGATGTCATGGTAAAAACCAACAACCACTCTTCGTGGCACTATATTGGCACGAAGCGTCGTGACATCTTCGTAAAAATCAACCGCTTCTCATGGCACTATCTTGGCAGGACATGCGGCTATATCTTGATATAAAACAGCCGCTTTTTAAGCAGCAATCCCGGCAGGAAATGCAACGATGTCTTGGTAAAAATCAACCACTTTTCATGGCATTATCCTGGCAGGAAACATAGTGACATCTTGGTAAAAAAAGACTCGCTTTTCATGGCACTATCCATCAGGAAGCGCTGCGATGTCTTAGTGAAAAACAACTGCTTTTAGTGGCACTATCCTGGCAGATAATGCAGCGAAGTCTTGGTAAAAAACAAGTGCTGTTCTTGGCACTATCCTGGCAGGGTACGCAGTGACATCTTCGTAAAAAACAGCCACTTCTCATGGCACTATCCTGGCAGTAATGTCTTGGTAAAAACTAACCGCTTTTTGTGGCACTATCCCGTCAGGAAACGCAGTGACAAAACATTAAAAAAACACCCATGTTTGGTGCTAAAAAGCCTCTGAAAATGCAGTAATGACTCACTATAAACAACTGGTTTTGTAGTTTGTTCGTCTCAAGAGTCGTCTGCAGAGACTGGCAGCCAGGCAGGCATCTTCACCCTCCCCTCCACCTCTCGATGACAAAGTCAGCTAACATAAGACGTCATTTTCGAAACGCTGACATATATGAAACGTAAAAATGTAACATTTCCGTGGTTTGCAGAAACGAACAATGCTGACATTTTTTTCCGGAGACTGGGTTGGATAAAACCATGTGACGAACACATCTCAGAGAGAAAGTTGAGGAATGAGTTCCTTTTTTCCTGTCTTTAGGATTTGTCCCAAGTTTATTCCAGCAGGAAATGAAAGCCTGTCTGATCCAGATGTTTCTTTGAGGTGAGCTTTCTTCTTCATAAAGTGCTTTTGCATCATCTTGTTTATTCAAGGATCCCCATTTGAAACACATGAAAGTGCCCTTAGTCTTTCTGGGGTCCTACAGTTCCATAAAAACCTCTTTGGTATCCCGAAAAATGATGGACCATCGTGGAGAACATACTTGTCTTATAAAACAACTATTAAGGAGTCTAGTTCATCTTCCAGGTGCAAGACTTGGCTCTACTTTGTGTATCGTCCCAGACTCATCGTGGCCTTCAGCGGCTTCTTCTGGCCTTTGGCAAAGTGCCGCAAAACAAAGTCAAAGTTTGCCGTTGTGGACATAGCGTAGAAGACGTTGGCTTTGTCCGGTATGTGCAACTCTGAAAACAGGAAGAACAAGACAAATGGTCAGCGAGAAAGCCTCTTCAGCAAGGTTTCAAACAACTCTGTTGACAGTGAAGTGTCTCTGTCCTGACCTCTGTCCTGGGAGATGACCTGTGTCAGAGAGAAGTCCTGCCAGTTCATGTGCTCGAGGTGATGCTTCTCCAGCGCCCTTTGGATCACCTGGGCAGTTTTGTCCTGGCTGGTCAACTATGGAAGATGAAGAAGCAAAAGTGCTGTTAAATAAACCTTAACGAAGACGTGAGAAAGTCAATTTGTGTTCAGAGTGTTGAGTGGTGGAAGAAGTACCTATAAGTGCCTTATATTAAAGGAATAGTTCAGATTTTTTGAAGTGGGGTTGTATGGAGTACTGGAGAAGCTAAGCAATGAACTGTGGATTGGATTCAGCAACAAAACCTATTTTAGTCACATAAAAAATTAATATCAAGTATATATACGCTATACTGAGAGTATTTTCACAGCTTTAACTTTAAGCCAGAAAACTTGTTCCAGTGGGGAAGCTGTTGAGCTGCTGAACTGTTAATTAATAACGGTTTATAGACATTATTAACATTATTTTGTTCACTTGTTTTATTGTATTATTATTATTATTATTATTATTACTACTACTACTACTAAATATTATAGCTTTTAAGCCTATTTCACTGTATTTTTTTTTCAGAATTATTTTTCTGTTTTTCTGTTGTTAATTTTTTTTAATCTAGTTCTTTAATCTAGTTTTTATATTTACATTTTTTTATTTCTATTTTTTTTATACATTACTGTGTTTATAGCTTTTAAACCTATTTAAGTACATTTTCATCATTTTTACTGTCTTGTGTGCTGATATTATTATTATCATTAATATTGTTATTATGATTATAACATATCATAGCTTTTAAATCTATGTCACTGTATTTTTTTCTCATGATTATTTTTATTCTGGTTTTGTCTTTATTAAATTTTTTTCATCTATGTCTTTAATTTGGTTTTTATTTTTACTATTTTTTTTTATTTATTTTTATTTATTTATTCTTAATACCATTACTGTTTTTATAGCTTTCATTTGATTACATTTTTATCATTTTTATTGTCTTGTGTGCTGAAATTATTACATTGTTTTTTGTTTTTTTAATTAATATTTTTTATTAAAGGTTATAGCACATGGCATGACATAACAGTGTCAAGTCAACAATGAGAATCACTGTTTTGTTTTTTGTTTTTAAATAGAAACATAATAATAATGATATTAAATTTAAAGAGTACTGTGCATCTCTATGGATAAAACAGAAAAAACACACTGAAGAAGGTTAAAGAATGTATAAAAGGTGCTCTACATTAAAGCGTGACTGACTGATTGGTACGTTGGATATGAAAAACATCACAACACTTGAGGATGAACTCACCAGGATGCTTTTGTACATGTTGCCGTTGTTGTGTCCCAGGTCCACGCTCACCCTCACTATACAGGAGTCAGCCACCTGACGGTTGTACTGCGGCAGCGAGGTCATGGACACGGAGCGCTTGTGTATGGAGGCCAGAGTGGGCTTCGGAGCGCCGCCACAGGATGCAGCTGAGGAGCAGAGATCCGTCCGGCAGTCGGAGGAGCTGGAAGGAGTGGGCGAGTCTGGAGAGGAAGACACGGTGGAGCAGGGGGAGGATGAGGACGAGGAGGACGAGCAGGAAGAGAAGGCCTCGGACACGTTGTTGCAAGAGCTGTGAAAAGACTGCGGTGGAGGGGAGACAAAAACAAGAGGGAGAATATATCGATGAGTGCCTTTTGAAATATGCTCAGAGCGTCTGTAGTGCTTTATGACTGACTGCTCTGCAGAGAACTGTACAGCGTCAGACAAAGCCTACTCCAGATCAGCTGAGGACCTGCTCAATTCAAGCTCCATTTGCTGAGAGCTCACGCTAGTTTCGATGGCCCTTTGAAGAAAGTCCTTTGTGCAGGGCGATTATGCAACTTTCAAAAGCATCGAGTGTATTTCAGCTCTTATTATAAACGCTTCAGGGTTTGTTTGACTGCTTCAGAAAGTTGTTTGTGAAGTGTAAATAGTGTCTGTTGTGCTGAACACAGAGGCCAAGTAGACGAAGGCAGAGCATGATAAACAGAGACACCACTGAGGACAAGGTAGAGACAGAAAACAATGAGGGACACACACACACACACGTTTACCTGCAGTCTGATGGAGCAGGCTGAGTTCGGGGAGGACAGATCCTCCAGCTCAGATCCACTGGATCCAGAGGAGGAGACGCTGATCTGGTCAGCGGGAACTTTTTTAGATCCCTCAGCCACTGTCAGGAGACTGAAGACACATCAAACTCATTTAATAATAATAATAATAATAATAATAATAATAATAATAATAATAATAATAAGGTTTTATAATTATTTATAATTATCATATATTATAGAATTTCTTCTATCAACTCATGTTGTGGCAGAAAAATACTGAGGTCAGCGAGTATTGTTGTGTGCAGATATGTGTGAGTGTGTGTGTGTGTGTATAGTCAAATGTCTTCTGTGTGTGTTTGAGTAGTCAAATCTAGTCAAAGCACCATACTCACGAGGAGAGTTTCTTTGTGAGCGTGCGGTGGCTCCACGGAGTCAGCGAACACAAGTCCACCGGAGGCTCCAGCTGTCTCGACAGATCGTAGCTGGAACAAAAACAGAAATGAGAACTGCGATCCTCTACGATACCTTTCCATGTGCTGAGGAAAACTTGTCTTGCTTTGACTGGCCACTTTATTAGGTACACCGGTTCAACTGCTTGTTAATGCAACTAGCTTTTTAGCCAATCACGTGGCAGCAACTCAGTACATTTAGTCATGTAGACATGGATTTTGGATTTTGTCGCCTAACATTGCTTCCAGCCTCCGTTGGTTGGCTGCATTATTTCAGTGGGAGGAGACTGTGACTCTTCTTCACTCCACAACAACTCCAGAATTTGTGTTTTCTGTTCAGCCTTTTCATACATGTACAGAGTTAATAAACTGTGCATACCATGAGCTGCATCACCAGCCCAGTTAGGACGTTTTAACTTGTTTGTAACTAATTACTACATCATAAATGTCAAACTAGTGGCGTCTTTATGACGAGGCAGTGACAGTGACAGGGTTATATCTATGTCTCAGCTGATAACAAGACCTGAGCAGACGCCGCTGCTCAGTGTGACGGGACATCGATTAATTCACACTGCAGCTAACGAGGAATCTTTCAGTGGAAAATTATGAGAGCTACGCTCCTTTATTTGACCACATGGAGAAATTTTTACAACACACACTTCAGATTATGTAACTAAACTTTTACTGGGCTTTCCTCTGCTTGTGATCCAGCCACACAAACGGTACATGAAGGGGTGAATAACACACTCACCTCTCCTGGTCGGTGAGCAGCTTGTGTCCCTGCAGCCAGGCGGAGATTCTGGGATGATGAGGCAGGTTGTACTGGGAGCAGGACACCTGCAGCACACGGATCTGTGACAAAACCTCAAACTCCTGCAGGGAGAAAGAGAAGTCACAGGATTAACAAAGATGTCCACACATCTGTGTGGTTACATAACGTGGAGTAACAAGGTTCAACACAATATTTCAAACAGTAACCAAGCTGCAGTAAAATGACATGTAAATGTTTTAAAATGAGGCCAAAAATGTCCTGTTTACTCTGATAATGCAAGTATACTGCACACAGCCTCACACCTCATCATGTCGTGCCGACAGAATGTTATGTGGACGCTTGGTTTTCAACTACTATGAAAAAACAAATAAATAAAATGGAAATGATAAAAGAGGAAGCACTTACCCTCCTCCTCTTCTCAAAGTTTATGAGCCCACCCTGTCAGAGGAGCACATTGTTAGATTACAGGACTTATTTATTGCACATATTAACTAGTAAATGGATCTAAAAATGAACAGAAACACTGCAGTAACACTTCATTCTCAAGCAGTATATCACTGATTCTTAAATGGTTTATAACAGTGGTTCCCAACTGGTGTGTCGAGGTCCAAAAGTGGGTCGCTGGTCCACTCTGAATGGACCGCAAGTGACTCGCAAACGTGTCAAGTTTGTAAAAAACACACGTAATTTTTAAGTACAGTGACATTCCAGCAAAGAGCTTTTATCTTGTAGTGCTATTGCCTGCTGTGGAATGAGTCACTGATGGGCAGCTTCTGACAGAGACAGAAAACTAGCTCGACAACATGGCCAAACACAAGTATGACACTGAATATTTCAAACTGTGTGGACTTGAACTAATAATGGAGAAACCTGGACCAGTTGGGAACCACTGGTCTATAACACATTGTAATGTAGCTGTAAACAGAAATAAGAACATTTTTAAGTGTTTATTCTTGGACCGGGCAATATATTGATTTTATAACGATAATGCAACATCCATTCATTCTTTCATTTTCCATAACTGCCTATCCTGTTAAAGGGATAGTGCACCCAAAAATGCAAATTCAGCCATTATCTACTCACCCATATGCCGAGGGAGGCTCAGGTGAAGTTTTAGAGTCCTCACATCACTTGCAGAGATCCAAGGGGAGAGGAGGTAGCAACACAACTCCACCTAATGGAGGCTGACGGCGCCCCAGATTCGAACGTCCAAAAACACATAATTGAAACCACAAAATATCTCCAAACTGCTCGTCCGTAGTGATCCAAGTGTCCTGAAGCCCCGACATAAAAAGTTGTTTGGAAAAACCTCATCTGAACTCTGTTTTTAGCCTCATTGTAGCCTGTAGCTCTCAGTGCGGGGCTTCAGGACACTTGGATCACTACGGACGAGCAGTATGGAGATATTTTGTGGTTTCAATGATGTGTTTTTGGACGTTTGAATCTGGGGCGCCGTCAGCCTCCATTAGGTGGAGTTGTGTTGCTACCTCCTCTCCCCTTGGATCTCTGCAAGTGATGTGAGGACTCTAAAACTTCACCTGAGCCTCCCTCGGCATATAGGTGAGTAGATAATGGCTGAATTTTCATTTTTGGGTGCACTATCCCTTTAAGGGTTGCAGGTTGGCTGCAGCCTATTGCAGCTGTCATTAGTCAAAAGGCGAGGTTTCACCCTGGACAAGTCACCACACTATCACAGGGAGGCACCAGAGATTGTGCTGCAATAATATCTAGCCGGGTTGGGAGAAAGTTACTGCCTCAAACGAGGGAGTACAAATATCTCGAGGTCTTGTTCATGAGTGAGGGTAGAATGGAGCATGAGATGAATCAGCAGTTTGGTGAGGCGTCTGTAGTGATGCAGGCGATGCACCGGACCGTCGTGGTGAAGAGGGAGCTGAGCCAAAAGGCAAAGCTTTCGATTTAGTCGTCCATCTACGTCCCAACCCTCACCTATGGTCATGAGCTCTGGGTAGTGACTGAAAGAATGAGATCACGGATACAAGAGACCGAAATGAGTTTCCTCTGTAGGGTGTCTGGGCTCAGCCTTAGAGATAGGGTGAGGAGCTCGGACATTCGGAGGGAGCTCGGAGTAGAGCTGCTGCTCCTTCATGTCAGTTGAGGTGGTTCAACATCTGATCAGGATCCTCCTGGGCTCCTCCTGTTAGAGGTGTTCCAGGCACGTCCCACTGGTAGGAGGCCCCGGGGCAGACCCAGAACACACTGGAGGGATTATATATCTGGGGTGCTTTGCGTGGCCTGCTGCCCCTGCGACCCGGCCCCGGATAAGCAGATGAAAATGGGTGAATGGATAGATGGGTCCTCTAGTGATTCCTACCTCTAAAAAGCACCCTTACATACACTATGGATCAGTACCCCACTTCAAAAGAACCAAACTATCCCTTTAAGGACAGAATCTGTCACTCAGGCTACATCATGTACCTCCACAGTGTCTGGCAGAGCAGTGTCCAGCATGGTGAGGACGGTCAGGTAGGTGCCAAGGTAGGGAACCACTCCACTGGAGGTGCTCTGCAGAGAGACATGTAAGCACAGGGCCCATTAGTGCCACAGCAGTAGTTTCATGTGTCACTGTATCTGCTTATTTGTGTCTTTTGAATCCACTCATTATCTCGGCTGAGATCGAACGACATTCACGCAAGGCAAGTCCCAGTTAGCAGCACTGTGGGTTCATGTTACAGCCCAGGAGAATGTGCATATGACTCATAAAGGACCCCAGTGTAGTCTATTATTACTGTCCTATAATCCTGGTGATCCAGGGCCATTTGAAACTTGCTCAGCACCGAGCACAGCTAAAGATAGTTTTGGGTATCTGCCATGCCAGAGATACTCCACCCACACACAGCGAAATCAGCTCTCTTGCGGCTTCCAGTGTTGTATAATATGGAAATGTTTGTGCATGTGTCTTTCTGAACGCTGAAAGTAAACCCTGCCTCAGGTAAAATGAGTCAGAGACTTCATCACATGAAAAATTATCACATGTTGCAACATTGCTGCTGCGAAACAACACGGCTGCCTCTGACACACGGCACTGGGCTTCAAAACACCTCACTCTTCTCATCCTGAGGTATGACTTACCATCTGTCTGGAGATCGGACACCGCTTGGATATCTTTGGAGAAATGTTATCCACAGTCGCAGCTTGTCCTCCGTCCTGTCAAAGTAGGTCAGACAGAGCTATAATCAGTTGAAGGTTATATTTGAAGGGATTAAAATCAAAATAAATCAAGCTTTTTTATTTTTTGCATGTGTGTTAATGTGAATAAACAATTACATACATGCACACAAGCACGTACAAGACAGGCTTTTAATAATAATAATAATAAGTTAAGAACGTGAGCAAACTAAGTTCTTCAATACAAGATTAAGGCTTTATTATACATTAACTTGGATATCCTGTTTAATAATTATCTTGTGAAAGGGAGGGAGGCCGCTTCAAAGCGTTCTCTCTCAAGTCTTTGTGTGCAATATCTGTCACAAAGAGCCATTAGGCTTTAATGTATGAGTGTGTTTACACAGATAAAAGCCTCTTTATTAAAAGACAACGCCCAAACGCAGCCACAGTGAAAACTGGAAATAAAGGAGAACAATAGTGAGACATGAAATTATTCCCAGCGAGGAGTTTCGTTATTGTGCTGCAGCAAATATTAGGAAAAGTTGCTTTGTTGTTGTGTGCAGAGAATACAGGTCCAGCTACGATCGGTTGACTTAAGAGTCCTCTCACTGTAACTAGACACAAGCAGCCTCTGACACAGTTGCCTGAAGGAGACTTCATAAAAGAAAGACAGGAACACAATGTGCTCGAGGCCTCTGGTTTTCCATTAACGCTCGGCTGGACATTTCTGTAACTGGAAAATGAATCTTTTTAATGATTAAAAAGTGAAATCTATGAGCTCAGGAGGGTAATCATTTCCAGAGATTCTTTGCACTATGTCCTTTGTACAGTTCCTGTTGTGTTCACGCTCACAAAATTCTCTTTCTTAAAAACTTCAGTGTTGCGTCTTCTGCTGAAAACTGCAGTGATTCAGTTCAGATCACTTTTTTTCTGCACTTGAAACTGACTGCTGGGACTGAAAGTATGTAACAGCTGCACGGAGCTGTCTGCATTGGTAAACATTAACTCTTATTTGCACTGGAAGGTCAAAACGAACTGTTTGCATTCCCTATGGAAATCTATAGGAATGTTTCTCTTATCAGTTACTGCTGTCAGGTATATACAGTATGTGCAACACATCTTATCTATCACTGGCATCATCGCTCACCTACTTTATTTTAGAAGCTACAGTACAGTTTCGTATCGTCTGTACTCTTCACCCCAGAAAAAGTGATATCACTGAAAAGACAGACTGACACAGTGATTACAGTTATGCGAAAAAGTATCTGCTATTATAATCTAATTAATTTACTTTTCAGCTGTCACTGGCTATTGCTAACAAACATTTCTATAGGAGTGGATGAACTGTGGCCGTAATAACTAAAGCCTAGTTCACATTACACGATTTTCACCACGATTTTGATGTCGCAGAGGATCTTGAGAGCCACCTTGGGTCGGAGGTGAGTCGGCAGATAGTCTGCCACGACGAGTCCTCAGGTATGAACAAGCCTACGAGCAAGTCGACACGACTGACAAAGAGCATCAGCCAATGAGAGCCGGGATACGTCCCACGTCAGCACGCAGGAGGACGGAAGAAATGCGAGGAGGACAAGCCGCAGGGTTGCCAGGTCTGCTCAGTAGCCGTGACTTTGGGCTTGTTTCTAAAGTGGAGTTGCTTATTTGGGCTTGCTCTCTAAATGTCGCCTTCCTCTATATATATCCGTCGCTTCTTTTGGGCTTGTTTCCATAGCCCTGGTTGCTTGTTTCTCTCCCAAGATCTGGCAACACTGACAAGCCAGCAAGAAACAACAATGGCAGCGTCCACAGGATCACGGGGAGCGCGTTGTGTTTGGACCCAGGCCCTGGAGGCAGATCTGATTCAACACTGGGAAGAATATCCATGCCTTTACCATGTGTCGTCTCCAAGTTTGGTGACATCACCGCGTTATCTGGGGCTCTGTCGGCGAGGGCTCAGTGGAGAAATCTTGTGCACACACAGGTCCTAACGCAGTTGGCGAGACTCCCGATGACAGAAACACACGTCACCAGGTATGAACACTCAAAAGATTACGATAGTCTCTGCGACGCAAAATCAGGGTGAAAATCGTGGCTTTGAGTGTCAAAAACATAATTTCCTGCATCAATTTATGGTGCAACTGTCTTGAATCTAATCAAAATAAAAGTCCTCTGCTACTTTCATATTTTTTCGGCCGGGGCGGCTGTGTCTCAGCCGCAAAGAGACCATCACATTACATCAGTTCACTTGCTAAAGCTGCTGTTGTTGTGACCTTTACACTAGAAAGAACGACGACATGAGACTGGATGTTTGTGTCACGATTTTGGTCTCGGCTTCAGAGCTGTTACACCCCAAAGCATTAGGTGTTTCTAACATAAGCTGATGTGTGAGGAGACATAACCAAAGCTGCTATGACAATTCAGAGGTAGAGTGGGTCGTCCACTAATCAGATCAGTGGTTTGATCCCCAGCTCCTCCACTCTGCATGTCAAAGTATCCTTGGGCAAGATACTGAACCCCAAACTGCTCCCATGTGTTACTGAGTAGCAGTGTGAATGTGTGTGTATGTGACATGTAGTGTAAAAGCGCCTTGAGGGGTTGGAAGACTAGAAAGGCACTATACAATTTAGCGTAACTTAAGAGACTCTACAATGATATGAAAGCGTATCTGCCATCATAGGGTCATTCATATGTTCCCAAGGGACTAGTCTAGCTTTGTGTTGAGTTTTCAGCACGTATAAACTAACACTGAACTAAACTAACTAAACGAACACGCCGTCTGCAGTCAGTTTCGTCTCATTACGAATCTTTGGTCTGAACTGGGTTTGAGAGAAGCAGACTCTAAAATGTTCAGAGCATATATGTATAATTTCATGATGAACATCGTAACTAAATATTTAAGGTGTTGTCGGTCAGTGTATGTCTTATTGACCCACTTATGGAAGACTGTAGGTTTCAGTGCATCTACAGGTCACCACTGTGAACACTGATACAGTTTCCCTCTCACCTCCACCAGCAGCTCTCTGTTGGTCAGGACACAGTTCTCATCGGGGAAGGTTTCCCAGAGGTTATCAAACGTGGCCATGCTGTCCCTGCAACAGAGCAGAGACAGGATGTAGTAAATATGCAGCTATTCAGTCCATAATCAGTCCTCGGTCCAGATGTTTACACCACAAAGAGAAGGACATGAAGTTATGCTCCAGTTGTCCTTGACACTATAACAGCTTACATGACATGACACACTGCAGAATATGTGTCACTAAAAGGTGAGACATTTGCTGACTTGCTCTGTCAGAGACACTGAATTGCACCTGATGAGGGTTCAACGACCTCATTAAAGGACGATTATGTAGAGCACATTATAAATGTAGCCGCAGAGACAGACAGACTTTGTGCCTATAACCCTGCCCTACCTGCTGACAGCAGCCCAGGTCTTTCTCAGCCTGTAGACTGCGTTGGACTGAAGGGCCGACAGGATCGCCTTCAGAGACGAGAAGTTCTTTAACCGACGACAATCCTGCAGAAGAAACAACTTGCATTCAGTGGATTCACGTAATACCAGCATACAGTAAAGGGATAGTTCAGATACGTATGCATAAACAGTATATTACAAACAGTTGATGTCAATCGGCACGCCTCCAGTTTGGAGAAGCAGGCAGGAGTCCAACATGGAAGCTAAGCAATGTACTGCTGTGGATGGGATCAGCAGCAAAACACATTTTAGCCACCTTAAAAAAGTTCCACCTAAAAATATCAATATCAGTGAAAGTGTATGCTATATTAAGAGTATTTCCAGTGCTTTGCCTTTATGTCAGGCAGTTATATTCAATGGGAAAATGAAGCTGTTGCATCGCTCTCTTCAAAGCCAGACTCCATTGAGAAAAACGGCGATTTAACATCACTGAACACGGGAGCTGCTGGTCGACCACAGCCTTGATCAGTTAGTTAAATCTGTGTTATTGTGTGACTCTGGTGTTTAAAACAGTCAGTTCAGATTCACCACAGTGACACAATAACACAACCAAACTAGCTGATTGAAGCAGCTGTAGACGAGCGGCTGCTGTGATCAGAGGGCTAAAATTGGTGTTTTTCTCAATGGAGTCTGGTGGCTTTGACGAGAGCACAGTTGGAGAACTGAAGTCGTTACTGGCTTCCCTGTTGGTAATGGCATTCTGACGGAAAGGTTAAGCAATTAAAATACTCTTAATATAGCAAACACCCAAACTGATATTGATTTTTTTAGGCAGGACTTTTTTAGGTGGCTGAAATGAGTGTTGTTGCTGACCTCTGCAAAGCAGTACATTGCTTAGCTTCTTTGTCAGGCTCCACTCTGCTTTCCCAAACTGACGGCCTCCCACCTGACATTGTCTTTATAAGTCAGAGCCGAGGGTTAAAAACCATCTGAAACCAAGAGTCAGAACTTGACTTCCTGACTGACCTGAGCTACTCTGATCCACTTCTCTATGATGCGAGCCCTCTGAGCTGGCGTAGTGAGAGGCCAGCGGGAGGAAGTGGGACTAGAGGTGGCGTCTGTCGGCTGGCAGAGCAGGGACATGATGACCTGGTTGGTGATGGCGTTGAATTGCGCGATGGTGGCCCGGATGGTGGGAGACATGTTTTCCTTCTTGTCTCTTTGCGACCACATACAGCCCAGGCACTGGTACGGCACCACTTTGACAAACAGAGCCTAAAGACGACACAAAAACCAATCATCAGCCTTTAATTACCAACGTGAAGCAGAGACGTGTAAAAAACATCCTCTCACATACAGAGTCCATTCGGGTGAGCTGTTCTGCAATGGCTGAGACGGAGAAATCCATGATGCTGCCTACATCCAGAGAGTTTTCACATCCTGAATCCTCGTCACCAGAAGCCTCCTCGTCATGCTCCAGATCTGCCCTGGCAGGACTGACAATTGTCTCAGCTCCTGAATAAGACACAGAGAAGGAATCAGAAATAGTGAGCTTGACCTTTTGCAGAGGATTTGGTGTGTTGGTGCAGCACATGGGCAAAGGCCTTTTTATTTCTGGTCATGTTATGTCGTTGAGGATCACCTTCTTTCTGTAACCTCATGAGCAGTGCCTCAGCTTGTGAAGCCAGCGAGCTAAAGTTCGGCTGGCTGCGCATGTTGTCGTGAACTGCGGAGCTGATCCTCAGGTGATCCAACAGCTGCCTGAGTGCCGGGTGCAGGGGAGGATCCCTGAAGTCCTCGCTGTAATCATCCAACCATGTCTGGACAAAGGCCAGCAGAGGGCTGAGGAGGCAGCGGAAGGATCGTTATACTTCAACTATTTAAACCACACTTTAAGCCATGAGTTACATATTAAAAATTAAAGGTGCGAAAGTCATCCACCTACCTCCTGTAGCATTCACTGTTGTCCAGATCTGACGCAGCATTGTCTCTGTTGGGGGTAAAAACAGACTTGACCTCACTCTTCAGGCTGTTTTCTGCATTTTATTTTAATTATTATTTGTTCCTACCCTGCAACTATCCTAAACCTGACCTCGAAACATGCTAACCACAGTCTAGAACCACTCTGTGCATAATGGTTGTTGTCGAAAGCCTCAAGATAATGAGCACCTGCTGGGTACTTATTACGACATCAAAGCAGATGAGAGACGGTTGCTTTGTCAGGAAAACAATGTATAAAAAGATCCTGACGCAACTTGGTGACTCTGCATGTGCAACAACCCGAGATGTTTTCCTAGAGTCGAGCACAAAGGGGAGGACTCTTTACCTGTGGCTCTGCATCATGTTTAAAATGGAGACTGAAATTTTTGATCGGGGGAAAATAACCAGACAAAGACTACTGAAGGATAGTGTGTGTGAATGAGGGGAAATTCTTATTTAAGACCCTTTATAACGGCCTCTTCAAGGTGGCAATATCACACCGTTTTCCCGCCTTGCTGTTCTTTACAATTGAAATCAAAAGGGTATAACCGCAGAATGAAGGGACAGAATTGTCTCGCCTTTAAGCCAGCAGCAGAGGTAGTAACAGCCACAAATTGACATCTGTGTAACGGTCCTGACACACAAAGCTGAAGGTCGGCTGCTGGTCAATGTCTGGCTGTCAGTGAGCATCTGTTGCCCTAGTTTTGTGCGGCGTGACCCGCACTAGGTGGCTTTTTCTGGTCAATTCAGCATGATGGCGGGGCCCGATTCTGAATGAAATCGCTCTGATTATCAGTTTCACTCAGCACACAGGAAGAGAAACAGAAATGAGGAAAGTAAACAAATGGTTACAGTCAAAAGGGTGTGAGAGCAAAACAAATGTGTTATATTAAGTGTTCGAGTTATAGTTCGCTGGTGCACAGTAAATATCATTTATCCTTGTAATATAAGATTGTGCTAATGTGCTAACTGGCTAACTAGCGTCTTGAATCCCTCCTGTCGGTCTTCCGGTTTCCCTTTTCGAATGACGTATACAGACTACTACTACCTGCTGCTGTGGAGAGTTATTTCTCTCATGCAGTCCCAGAAAGTACATGCTGGTTGGCCGCCGGCTGTCATCTTTGTGGTGTTTTCAGGTGCAACTTTTTTGCTAAGACACAGGCAATGTGAGATGACGCAACAGTCGGCCTTTGTCACCACTATTCTTTAATGTTGGTTTGGTGTGTGTGCCAGCTGGATGGGAAGGGGGGTTACATTTTGACGACATGTGATGTGTGCGACCCACTGCCGGGAGATTTAAAGAGCAGCTAGCAGCAGTTAGCAGCTAACTCAAAGATGTAGAACAGCAGCCAAAAATGTCTGCAAACTGGGGAGACAATGAGGTCCCAGAGCTCCTTACCCTCAGAGCAGAGGACAGACGGTAAATGACTGTTATTGCCATGTTAATGCCATTGTTATTGTTTCTAAATAACTATCGACGCATATGTTATATGTCACACTAGAGGCCAACGCTGTTGTGTTAAATGTCACACCCATCCCGCATCTTTTGCTTCAGGGTCACTGGCATGCCATCTAAAAAAGTAATGTAAGTAAAAGGATTTGTCGGCGACCCTGTGTAAAAAGGGGCTTTCATTGACCGTTTAAGGAATAATTCAAGCGTTCAAAATTACATTTATTCGCTTCCTTGTAGAAAGTGAAATTAGAAAATTGACAGGCTGCCACTTCCATATCTGTATGCCAAATAGGACGCTGCAGCCAGCAGCCACTTAGCTTAGCATAAAGACTGGAAACAGGGGCAAATAAAAACCTACAAAAATTCTCACCAATTAGATGTTTCAAGTTTGTTTTAGCTTTCTTAGCTCCCTAGCCAGGGTAGCCATTTCCCCCCATTTTCAGGCTCCTTGCTAAGCTAAGCTAAGCTAAGCTAACCAGCTGCCAGCCATATCATATTTGCTGTAAGTGGTATCAATCTTCTCATCTAAGTCATGGCAAGATAGCCAAAAAGTGTATTTCCCAAAATGTCACACTATTCCATTACAACAAACCTGACAAAACCAGACATACAGGGGTACAAAAACATGACTGTACCTCTGGAAGAGCAGCTCTATGAGCTCTGAGGTGCCGGTGAAGGTCCTGTACGTGGAGAGGAAGATCCTGCCGTAGTCCTGCTCCTGGCAGCCGGGGTCCAGGAGGTGATTCACAAGAAGGTCCAGGGTTGCAGCCTTCAGACGCCGCACCTTGCAGGTTCGGTACTGCACAAAAGCGCAGCATGGACTGTTCTCACTGGGGTCGGGGGAGAAGGGGACGGGCTCCCGACGCAGCGTGACTCCATAAACTGCACCATCCTCGACCTCCTCACCCCATTCCTGCACTGGGTTCTGGGGACAGCAGAAGGAGAAACAATGACTAAGGGTTTTGCACTGTTCAAGGTTTTTCAATGCCCTGCTTGCTTTGCAAAAATACACAGGTGCGGGTCAAATACACAGATATATATCTAATACTGTTACTGCTCACAACATCAGGGTCAGAGGTTTGGCCCTGGGGGGGTAAAAATAGCAGAAAGCCTCCATGGCCAAACAGCAAACACAAACAGGTGACACACCAGCCCACTGCCACTCACACTGATCCCATGTGAGCCACCATGACTAAGCAATATTTGCTTATACTCATAACCATCACTTCAAACCTGCAATGACCCCACAAACAGTTAAGTGTGTAATGATAATAATTAACTCATCCACTCCACCTGCTGTTAGCCAGTTCTTGGTTTTTAACAATTTCCCTGCTACACAGCAACCTGAACCTTCCCAGAATTTTGCAGGTTAACATGAATGTTTATGGACAAATACGGGATTATCAAAAGGTTAGCACATCAAATAGTACACCAAAGCAAAATATTGCCTAAATGTCAGCAAGTTCCCGTCAGCGTTATTTATCCTCCAGCGACCAATAAAAAGGAGTCCTGCAGGCTGCTGATGCAGCACCATGTGTCATGATGTTGTTCAGACGTGCTGCTGCTTTCATTACATATTCAGAGGTCAGACCCTGTTTGATCTCAGCGAGGCTATCAATCAGTGTTCGAGCAGTCGCTCCTCCAGAATGCTCAACAACACTTGAGGCAGCACACATAGGGGAGCAGGGTTAATCAAATGTGAATACTGAGCGCCTTGTTCCTGCTCTCAGAATATTAAGTATAACGACACAACAGCTGCAACGGATAATTTAAAAAGTTCTAAAGGAGCCGCTGAACAATATGTGTATAAATTAGTACCATGAAGACAGAACACCAACTGTATCATGAGGGCAAATAATGAAGGTATCAGTTTCCATTTCTATCTTTCTGTTCACCTTTTCTTACTCAAAATCAAGTCCAAGAGGCAGGGATGGATTGTTGGACCTACAGTGTCAACAGGCCTCCTACTTGCAAAATGTCAAACATCAAATTAAAATGTACCGACCAGGCCCGAGACTCAAAACAACCGCAAGGAGACACAAAGCCACAAAACGACTACAAATAGACACAAAACCACCACAAAGCCTGTGTGTCTGGCTCCTATGTAGGACAGATAGTGGGGCCCTTTGCGTATCTGTGCCCAGGGGCCCATTGTCTCATAATCCACCCATGTCAAAGAGAACATACCGTACATCACCTGCAGAACACAAGATATGCATTCACGCCTTAAGACACCTATAGCTTCCCTCTTTATCCTCCTTTAAAGCAACTGCCTGACTTTTTGTTTCTAGTATGAAAGAAGCTCCAAAAATGCTGGAACCTACATTCCCCATAACGCACTACCCATAATGCATTACCCATAATGCAACATAATAGCATAGATACAGTCTGCATTTATGAGAACGCCCACAAAACGTCACACAGAGGAAACAAAGCATTTGCTACCATGCTGTTGAGTCGCTGTCTGGCTTTTTTGCACTTCAAATAAACTTTAAAATCCAGAGTTAAAAGATATTTTTAGACCAGCACCCTGTTTTTTTTCTATTTTTTTGTACCGAAATGACCAAGAGGAACAACATTTTTTAAACTGGTCCAGTACTGAGCGAATGTGCTGCAGCCGCAAAGGTCACGCTGCAGTGTAACCATTCAGGGCAGGTTCACATCGCCAATTTACGTCCCATAAAAGTGTTTGTTTCTGCTACCGACAGGCTCACGTTGGCTCACAGTGTCTGACGAGATCATTTAAATGATTCATTTCGAGACAGACCTTTTTGTTAAAGAGTGAGATCCTTTTTATTTCACCAAAAACAGCGCCGAAATCACAATCACCAAATCCACCAGACTCCATTCAAATAAACAGCAATTTTAGCATTGCCAAACGTACTTCATCAACGTAGACACAAACAAAATAAACCTCCCAAAAGAAGTCTTTGTTTGTCTTTCCGCTGTTCCAACAATCACCAACTCTGCTTTGGTTGAAGTAAACCTTAAATTCACCCAGTGAGATGTGAAAGTATGCAGCCTCTATACACACTTAAATTACTGTTTATTTGAATGGAGTCTGGTGGGTTTGGCGATGGCAACTTCAGGGCTGTTTCTGGTAAAAGTAAAAGGATCTAAAATGGTAAAAAAAAAAAAAAAAAGCTGTGGGCCTTCAAGGACCTGTGGCTCTTGAGGTTGCAACTATCTGCGTGATAACGTTATAGCACATCATCGAAACACAGGCTAATATTGAGTAACGTTCTATAAGGTCTCAAAATGTGCGAGGAATTCACAAAAACACGCTAGACTATTGCATCATAGCCCGAACAGCTGTGAGGTACTGATGTTATGGCATGATACAGCATTTAAAGGCAGGGGAAAAGACTGTGTTTGACCACTAAACGACCTTTAAGAGTGCATTGATAAGTTCCACTATCAGTTCAGTTTTACATACTAAGGTTTTCTTGAGAATGCATGTGTTTTTGAAGTACTGAGTCGACACCTGAATGAGACTTGGATTATTCTGCACGAGTTCTGTGAGAGTTTGTAAATAGATGTTTTGATGTAGTTTTGCTGTTGTTAAATGTGGCCCCCAATCAATCAATAAATCAACAGTTTCCATGTTTTCCATGGACCAGGCCCCTCAGCCTTACACTCAATTCTTCCCAGTGGCCACTCGTGGTATTGCAGCCCAAAAAGCACCTTTCCCATTAACCACCAGTATAAAAGAGACATCTGTAAACTGTTGACACCTTGAACTACAAACAAGCTCAATTACCACTCTTTCCATTGTGAATTTTTGGCCTATGGAGGTTTTTATCTGTAAAAATTCCCTTCCAGTTATTAAAGTCTATGCCGTGGAGGCATGCGAGAAAAAAACTCACAAAGTCATGACGACACAGCACGACTGAAGCCCCTTTCCACTGCACAGAAAACCCACTAACACCCACTAACATCTGGCTTTTCAGCATTCACACCCCGGTCAAATCCCTCTGCAGCAGACAGGTATTTATCAGCTCCAGCTCCAATTGGCATTGATAGGAACACAGCACTAACACGCTAATTTCAGCTCCTTCACTGGTGGGATGCAATGACAAGCCATCACAAAATACCGTCTGTCTACGCCCAAGCAGCGCTCAAACATCGAGCCAAGTTAGTCTGCACAAAGTTTGAAAGAGAGACTGAATAACTAAGAGATGCATAAAAAGAAGTAACCACCAAAAGTTGTCACAGGCCTCCATGCTCCGCTCTGCTGTTTACCTGTTCTCCGGCCTGTCCAGGATGTGAAGTATCCCTTTAAGACAGCTCACACTGAGTTCTATAACCAAATTACACCAAACGATTGAGGTCACGGTAAGGTGCACCAACTGAGATGGAACTGTCATGATTTTATTCCAACACTGGAAGTTTGTCTGCAACTGTGATATTTGTTGTCTAAACTTCATGAGTAAAACTGGTGGAGTGCTCCTTTAAATGCCTTGTGCAATGTGCATTAGAACACCAGGCGCCAGTAACATGTCTTGCATGACCCGTGTCTAATCCGTGTGGTTAATGTGTCTCACAAATCTATACAGACACCCTGCAGTGAAACATGTTCTATAGTTGCTCCTGTGCTCTGTTCAGAGCAGGAAATCATTTGTGTCCTGAGCTGTCGGATCTAAATTATTTATATAATTACACAGATTCTTGCATATTTAAAAACAAAAAAAAATAAAAAATAAAAAAAATGTAATTCTGAGCTACAGTCTTGTGTCAAGGTCACATGTTTGCACACACAGCGAGCATCACTGACTGCAGAGGAGATGACACAAACAGCAGCGCTCACAACAATTATTTAACATCCAGCTGGGAGGGTTCCCAAGCTCATATGTAAATGATCATTTAAATGTCTTTCTGCAAAGACAAAAGTTTAGCTGCAGTGTCTGCTGGTGCTAACCGGTATCACACAATCCCCATTGTCCCTCATAGAAACTCGTTTGTTAGCAACACAGATGGGAAACTGGCTGCGCATTGTGTCTCACTGCTACTCAGTTTCAGTGATGGTGGTACGAAGCAGCAGCCTCTACAGCAGCTAATATGAGGGGAAAAGCAGATCCTGGAGCAGCAGGAGGATTCAGCTGTCATGAGTGAGAGACAGGGAGGTAAACACAGTCTTGACCTTTTGCAGACCCAGTTCAGTTTGTGCCTCTGGTGTGTGAACATTAATGTGAGTTACAGAGCAGAAAAATAAACACACAGTGAAGAGAGACTGAAAGGTCATCTAACATCTGTTAGGGACTGTTCTTTATTTATGAGGGGGAAGGGGTGGTGCATCAAGGGGGAGGCATGTCAAATAAGTTTTTTATTTTTTAAACACTGGGGAGGGACTTTTTTTATTTGGCTTGGGAAGCGGCATATATATATATATATATATATATATATATAAATAAATCAAAATTACACCATTTATCACAGCCAGCAACTGTAAAAAACAAAAATTATTGTTGTATTTCCAAATTTCCGACAGTCCCTGGACACATAACATAATGTGCAACGAACGCTTCTGTCAAAAAAAAATCTGAGCTAAAAATGGTGATATTTCATCAAAATCACTTTATTCTACATTTAAAATGTTGCCAAAAAAAAAACAAACTATTTGCACAAACTGACAAGCATGCAAAGACAAAGAGATGCCAGCTTTCAACTTTTGACATTCAAACATCAAAAGGTAGTTTTTAAAAATCTAATCACTAATTTGTGGTGGAGGGACGGTTGTGCATTTTCTGCCATGCAGGAAAAACATAAGTAGCTTTGGGGAGGCTCAAAATTAAAATAAATAAATAGATTAAAAAAAATAATAAAAAACTGTTATTTTAAATACAGAACAGTCTCTTACCATATTTTAATATTTTTTTTGCCATTTTTTTCTTCTTCAGTGTTTGATATTGCAATACAGATTGAACCATGAATATTTGCCTGAGTTAAAATAATGATAATAATATTTTTTTAAATGAAGTCACACCCCAGCGAACCCTCCTCTGATAAATAAAGAACAGCCCCCAAACCACATTTTAATATTACTTATATTAATGTTTCTTTTTGTTCTTCAATATTTCATAGTGCAATACAAATTGAAACATCAATATTTGCCTGAATTAAAATAATAATAATAATTTTTTTTAAAAAGAAGTCACACCTGAGCCACCCCTCTCCTCTAATAAATAAAGAACAGTCCCTTACCACATTAATATCACTTATATTGATGTTTCTTTCGAATATTTTATATTATAATACAAATTGAAATAATAATAATAATAATATATTTTTAAAAAAACCTAGATTTGGGAATGTTATGCAACTTGAGAACCAGGTTAAGAATTTTTGTCGTTCCTGTGAGACAGAGATGTTCATCCAGATGGATTGGATTCCTCGCAACAGAATTAAATGTTTCTTAAATAACTTCTGGGTGTTTCATGCATTGCCAGGTATTATTTTTTAATAAAAAATGATGCTTGCAGCTTTTAAATGTTAATATAGGAGAGGCACAAACTGAGGCTTGACTTTTTGCAGCTTCAGCACAAACAGCCTGCAGATTTACAGAGATTATAAAAAGCTGTATTCACATATAAAGACTGAAGAGCAGGAATCTCCTCACATATTAATCAGGACATTATTTGCATTTATCAGATCACAGAGTAAGTGCTGACTCGCCCTGAATGGCTCCATGGACATAAAACCCACTCTTTATCTGACTTCAGTTTATTCTTACATCACATCAATAATCAGACTCACCATAGTTAACTCCCATTTTCCCATCTCGTCTTCAGGGAGTGTTGGCACTTTCCATCTCGACAGGAATCGTTGAAGTAAAAATCAGCTTCCACCTCGCGACGCACTGAATTTATGGCTTCATCTTCTTATAATAAAAACGCTTTGTAATCCTGCTGTTTGGAGCTACATGAACGCGCCTGTATTAATATGACAAAGACTTTGAGCGCAGACTGTTCGTCACATTTCACACCAGCATAGACAAATGTGGAGCTGCTCCCATCTGACGAGATCTGAAGTGTTCCGACTTGTTCTCTCCCCGTGCACACACACACACACACACACACACAC